GGAAGATGAGTTTGGGCTCATTATTGGAAGTAATACAGGGAGAAACAGTGATACCAGTCACTAACTACAGCGATCGAAAACTAATTTTGAAAGAGAATCAATGTATCGGTAGAGCGGAAGTAGCAGAATTAGTTGAACCAAGTTCAGATCAGAAAACTGAAAATTCAAGTCAAAAGGAAATACTGATAATAAATGAAATTAAGAAGTTTAGGAGACCGATTACTTTAGAAGAAATTAAAGTTAATAATAATACTACGCCAGAAGAAAACAGGAAGTTTTACATTTGATAAATGAGTATCGAGATTGTTTTTGCATTAAATATGGAGGAATTAGGGTGTACAAACTTAACAAAAATGGATATTAAAGAAATTGAAGGGAGTAAGCCTATTTGCATGAAGTCGTATAAAACCAATGCCGAAGAGCGTGCTTCTATAAAGAAGATAATAAATGAATGGAAGAAATATGGAATTGTTACTGAAACAAGATCTCCGTATGCTAGTCCAGTTTTACTCGTAAGGAAAAAAAACAGGTGAATTACGATTAGTGATAGATTATAGAAAGTTGAATTCGCAAACTGTTAAAGATAAATTTCCACTCCCTAGGATAGATGATCTTCTTGAATGTCTTAGTGAGTGTAAAGTTTTCACTACATTGGACTTAGCTCATGGATATTTGCAGATTCCTTTAACTGAAGAAGCGAAACTGAAAACAGCTTTCATCACTCCAGATGATACTGGTCAATTTGAACGTATGATCTTTGGGTTAGCTAATGCACCTGCAGAATTTCAGAGACTTATGAATCAAGTTTTAGGTCCATTGCTTAATAAAGAAGTATTGTGCTATTTGGACGACATATTAATTCCGGCTAAATCTTGGGAAGAAATGATGGAAAAACTTAGGAAAGTGTTTGATAGATTGAGAGAAGCAATGCTGACATTGAAACTGACAAAATGCGAATTTGGAAAAGATGAAGTTGAGTATTTGGGATTTCTAATAAAATCAAATGGTATGCAACCTGGACCAAGAAAAGTACGAGCCATATTAAACTTTCCTAAACCAACCAATGAACATGAAGTTAAACAATTTTTAGGTCTTACAAGTTTCTTTAGAAGGTTTGTACCGAAATACGCAGAGAAAGCTGAGCCGCTAACGAGACTGACGAGGAAGGATGAAACATTTCGTTGGAACGAAGATCAGCAAGAAGCATTCAGTACTTTAAAGGATCATTTAACTAATGAACCAATACTAGCATTATATAATCCCGAAGCAGAGACTGAAGTGCACACAGACGCGAGCAACAAAGGGCTGGCAGGAATGCTGTTGCAAAAAGGTGAAGATAGAAAGTGGCATTTAGTTTATTGTGTAAGTAAAGGGACAACAGAAACAGAAAAGAATTATCATTCAAGCAAATTAGAATTAATGGCTATAGTTTGGACTTTGACACGACTTCGACAATTTTTAATTGGAATCCGATTTACGGTAATTACAGACTGCCAAGCTTTAGTTTATTTAAACGCGAAGAAAACTTCAAATCCTCAGATAGCAAGGTGGAGTAATCTGATCCAGGAATACAATCTTGAAATAAAGCACAGGCAAGGCAAAAGAATGAGTCACATAGATGCATTGAGCCGATCGCCAGTTGATCAGCCAGAAGAAACTTTAGACTCTATAATTGAAAACAACTTGGAAGTTTGTTTAACGCTAACGATAGATGAACAAATTCTTATGATTCAGCATTCAGATCCAGAATTACGCAAATTAATAGACATTTTAAAGAAAAAGATAAATGATAGAACGAATGCAGAGAAATATGTAACTGAAAATTACGTCTTGAAGAATAATCGATTGTTTCGTAAAGTGAAAGATCAGGAAAAGGAGAAATTGTTATATGTCATACCTAAATCGATGAGAAAAGGTATTGTAGTAAAATTTCACGATCTTTTGGGACATTTTTCAGCAGACAGAACTGTTGCCAAAATCAAGGAATCATACTGGTTTAAAGGAATGAAACGATATGTTATGCGTCACATTTCGATGTGTTTCGAATGCCTAGTAAATAAAATGCCTAGTGGTAAGAAACAAGGAGTACTGCATCCAATTAGACCTGGTAGAAGACCTTTTGCAATTATACATATAGATCATTTAGGACCATTCGTAAAAAGTTCAAGAGGAAATACAGAATTATTTGTAATAATTGATAATTTTACGAGATTTACACGCTTATATCCTATGAAAAGTACTGCAACCAAGTATGTGTTAGTTGCATTGAAGAGTTTTGTAGATGATTTTGGGTTACCAGAAAAAATTATCAGCGATAGAGGAACATGTTTCACAGCGAAGGAATTTCGAGAGTACTGTCAAAATAATGGAATCAGTCATACACTCAATTCAACTCAACATCCAAGTGGTAATGGAATGGTGGAAAGAGCAAATCGAACAATTTTGGCTACGATTAAAACGAGTATGGAAAATCCGAATCAGAGAGACTGGGACAAAAAGATTAAGGAATGCGAAAGAAATCTAAACAATATGATAAATAAGACTACAAATAAAACTCCTTTCGAAATGCTTCACGGTTATTCACCAAAATTTAACGACGGATTGATGAGGATGATTACAGATGAAGACGCAGATGAATGGGAGAATCCAGTAATCTTACAGAATGAAGCTAGAAAGAGAATTGAAGATATGCAGATGAAAATGAAAGCAAATTATGACAAGAAGAAAAGTAATTCTTTAACATTCGAACGAGGAGAAATAGTAGTTATGAGAAGAGTACCTAAATCAACTGGAGAATCAACCAAAACACAACAAAAGTATCGAGGACCTTTGGTAGTTAGTTACAGAAGTTTTACCAAGTGATACCTATAGAGTGACTCAATTAGAAGAGAAGGTGAAAGGACATTTCTTTAGTACGACAGCTCATGTGAGCCAATTAAAGTCATGGCAGAGTCAAGCTGAATCAGAAGAAGACGATGATGATGATGGTGATGACATTAGTGTTACTGAGGATAACGATAACAACACGCCGCATATTACTAAAACTAGGACACGGAAAAAGAATAGAAAACGACGGTGAATCTATATGACAGCTAAAGACTTTCGAACTATAAACATTAATATTACAGATTTAATTTTTTTAAATATAAGTTCTTAATGTTTCGAGGTCGTAACTAAGTCAGGATGCCCGAATGTAAACGCCACGTATTAATTTTATTTTAAAATGTATTTTCCCGATTGGCAACAACATTTTTTTTTTTTTTTTTTCCCGCCAGAACGATAATATTTTTGAACTGTAAGTTTTTTAGCAGTAATGTTGACGGTAATGTTTCTGAATAAAGCAAGTATTTAACAATTAATGTTTGATGGAATGTGTTTTTAATAAAGGAACTAATTAAATGCTAACACATCATTGATACCAAAGCCAGATTTATGTATAAGATACACAAGCTGTAGCTTAGGGCCCCCAATTTCTTGGGAGCCAGCCTAAAAATTAAAATATAGTATAAATAGTATTAAAATATATTATAACAGACTTACAAAGGGCCACACATCTCAAATAGCTTAGGGCCTTATCAAGTCTAAATCTAGCTGTGATTGATACTATTTTAATATTCCATGACATCGTATTTTAATAGCACTAACTGCAATTTTTGAATAAGATGGTATAATAACTTCTGAAAAATTCGAATAGTTTTTTATATTTTATAATTGTAGAATTCAGTACATTTAATACTATTTTGTTTATTGTGTTTTTTTTCTGTGTGAATACGGTTCATAGCAATGTTATTTCTTCTTAAAATTTAAGTACAGAATTTAGACATCCTGTGTAAATGAAATGAGGTTAAGTAACAGTAAAATTAAGGCACATGAATTTTGGTGCCTTCCAATTTCAACATAATGTAAGAAGAGAAAAACATATAAAATTTTAATTTATGTTATGAATTATAACCAATTAATAAAGATGCTAATTAATATGCATTAAAATTAAAACATAATGTTTAATATATAAGAAACTTTTGCACTTTAAACTTCTCTCTTCAAAGAAACTTATAAAAATCTTGGTTCTTATAACTATTATGTATTGCATAACAATACATAATAGTTATGAAATTTTATAATAGATAAAATAACATTTCATACATAACTGAAAAAAACCCAATTGCAAACTTTCTTGGTACTTTTCCGTTTTGCCGGCGCAAGCGATAAAGTCACCAATAATGGTACAACCAATGCCAAACGGAATATTCTCGCTGGTAACCTTTTACGCCTCATTTTGAAACAAGTCGCAGCTTTTTCTTATTAGATTGATTGTTTCTTTCAATACTGACATATAATTACATAGTATTTTTATCAGATAGTTCAGTTTTATGTCTAAGACCATTTTCGGTAATTAACTCAATTAGGATGCAATCACAGCGCTTACCTGAAGCCGAAAATATAGAAAAGGTAAAGTCAAGGGTTAAATTCATCCATTCTAATAAGAATGCATTAGCGAAGTAAAGCACTACAGTTTTACATAATTTCTGAGTAAGCTATTCGTACGAATTGAAATATTTCTTGCATTTAAACTTGTGTTCCAAATTAAGATTTAACTTGAAATTAATGTAGATAATTACTGAGAGCATTAGATTTTTCGTAGAGTAGTTTACGTGAGAGGAGATCGCTTGGAGTCACGTAATATGAACCAGCGAATCAGGATGTTGAACCATGAAAGCATAGTAAATGCTTAAATTAATGTCTTTTTACAAATTTATTGTCTTTATTTATTGGCTTTTTATAAAAGTTTAAGCGATATTTAAATGTTTATGCCTTCTTTTTTTAAAAGAATTCTTAGAACTAACATTTTTTAAATATTTTTTATGTGTATACTGTATGTTGTCGCCAATAAAGTCTGCTTGGCGAGATTTGCTCAGGCGAAACGGAAAAGTACCACTTTCTTAATTAAACACAATTCTAATGCATGTTTATGCAATTTAACATTGTATATAATCACTTACCCACACAGTTGTCACATAAACTACAATGAGAGGCTCTGGGAGGGCGAAAAATTTTACATGTAAAGCAGTATTTAAGTTTTACAGGCTGACCATGGATGATTATTTCCTTTGTACGGGGAGGTGGTCTATATGTGGGTGAGCTTGATCCATTTGGAACTTCTATAGAATAAATAAATAAATAGAAACTTTTTATAGAATACATTAATATGCTTTAAAATATTTGTTTTTTATAAATTTACATATCTGGAATTAACAGAGATATTATTTATACATTTTCAAAAACACATAATATAGCTCATATAGCAGAAGCCCATTTAATCCAAACTAATTACAGTAATATTCTTAATAACCTTCAGGAACTGCATTTAATACAATTAAAGGCAGAAACAAATGTTTTCAAACTTTTTTGCCTCAAGTACCCCTTCCATTACTAGAAGTTCACCTGCCCCCTTTCCAAAACTTGAAAACAAATATACATTTATTTAGATTTGGATTATTTTTTGAAATGTTTTATTAACTAATCAAAAGAATGTGCAGAAAATGATGATGAATATCAAAACTTGGATAAAAGCAGTTATTATATATTCATAAACTAAATACTGAAGAGCCAGGAATTCCTCCCCGTCTCTCTGTAATATTTCTATGCAAGCTATAATAATACTTATCTTTTATTACAATCCCATTTATATTTTTTTGTAGTAAAACTCTTTTTCTTTTTACCGACACAATGAAAGCTTATAAATATAATAATACTATAGACAGCCATTCTTACTGATTCCAGATAGATATTAATGACAAATAAAACTGCCAATTCTCGGTGCTTGGTGATATTGCTATTCAACAAAACACAAGGTTTTTATCTTAAAAAAAAATATGTACTGTTTAGCAGAGTAAATGATTTAAAAGTAATATAATATACATACTTCTTATTATATGTTTAATTCATGTTTATTATCTTTAACTGATATAATTCATATAAATGTAAATAAAATTAACTATATCTAAATTAATAATTTTCTTAATAAATATGTTCACCATTATTATAATTAAAAAAGAAGTTTTAATGCTGTCAAACCCTCTGGTAAAGGACACTTTATTTCAATTCTCCATTAATGGACAATTTTTGGATCCTCAAACCTGAGAAATAATACTAATGCATTTCTATTTAGCTGATACTTCTTGATAACAAATGAAAACCTTAGTCTCCTGAATGTCTGCCAATGGAAAAATCTACTACATATGTTACTTTCGTAAATCATTCCCCCCGTTTTTTTTTTTTTTTTTTTTTTTGTTACAGAACGTATTATTAATTTTGTTATTTAAAAAGGCAATAGTCAACTGAATACTTACTTTCACAACGGGTGGATAAGAAAATACTCTAAAAAAAATACTGAACGTAAATAATGAGAAATATTAGATAACACTACTAGAACTTAATGTTGAATTTAATAAAGCCCAGTATTTTTTCAAATTTTTTCAAGCATTCATATTGAAAATCGTAAATTCAAATGAAATAAAAAATGTTGTGAAAAATGCATCATTTTTCTGTTTACCGTTTTCATGCAACATTACTGAACAAGAAAATTATCATAATATGTAAGTTAAACTTGACCACACATTGAGAATAAGGAATTTCCATTTCTACTGTGCGACACTTAAGTTCTACTAACAATCTAAGTTAAATGCTGTTCTGTCTTCCTTTTAATTCATGTTATATCAGGGCCATCTGGAATTTAGGAATGCAATCTTTTTTACTCTAAATTTTGTTGAAGAATAGCTGCAAAACTTTTACGATTGTACCAACTCTGGAGTTGATCCAGCATCACATATATTTGTTCAGACCTGAAAGTTATGCAAATATACAGCACACAAAAGAAATTTAAATATGGTGGAAATAAAATATGTCTTGAATGAAGATCCTCCTAGTCATCAACAATCTTCAATGATCTAATTAATTGATGTTGAAAAAGGATGTTGATGCAGTCTGAGAATGCTGTGCAATCCTACGTGGTAATTGAACCCTCTTTATAATTGATCAGAGCACAATTTAATCGAGATGTCTTGTTTTAAGATTGGTAACTGTACACATTAGCTAGGCTGCATCTGACCATCACAAGTTTAATGTTGACAATATCAACCTTTTAAGTTTAACATTTTCTCTTTAACTGTAATCACAGTTATAATAAAATTTTGATAATTAATCTGTGAATTATGCATGCTATACGTTAATAGTGGTAATATTTTAAAAAATATTTTTATATGGTATACAAAAGACACACTCAAATAGTTACAAAATAACATAATATGAAAGCAGCTACAGATTTGTAACACTAAAAAGAAAGCACTAAATTACCAATTTGTTTCTCTGTATCAGCTGCTTCATCTTGAGTAGCTCTGGGTATAACACCAGGATCACTAAAGCTGGTGCGCAACAAAGTGGACATTACAAAGAGGAAAAGAACTGCAGCTACAGCAGGTATGGCTGGGCTTATCTCTTCGGTAAGATACTGGCAGCTATTTATGCAATATAAAAAATAAAAAGTACTTATAATACAGTTTAAGATGCTAATAAATATATATGTATATATCTACATGTACGCACAACTTATCGAAGATGATGAAATAAAATTCATCCATTAATTCAATAAACTAACAAATAAAGGTAAATTTTTAAGGTTAAAATCTTCAACACACATTAATAATACTGATTTTTATCATATTTCATACAATTTATTTTTCCTTATAAATTATTCTAATCCACAAGAACTACCATTACAAAGAGAAAAACATCCCATTTTAAGTGCCTTTAGTGGAGCTGTATCCATATTTGAAAATACACATATATAAATTCATTTTTGGTTTTATAAACATCAGCAAATACATACAGCCTTCTTTTGAAGCGGGGGATTTTGATTCTCCTAAGGTCATAAATGCTTCATTTGTTTCATGAACCACTATATTATAATTTTAATGTTATATTTTCTACATGTCATCTTACCAGATTTAAACAACTGATTTAATATCTGAACAAATCCCAAATCCAGAATTGATGTCCCGATGCATTTGGATCTCACGCTTTGTACTTGATATTTTTTTTAACTAACTGCTAAAAATTGAAACAAATAAAAATAATATATAAAATTTTCTATTATGTTTAATAATGTGAAAATTTTATATATTCTTTTTTACTTTATGTAATTTTTGTTATTTATACATTCTTTAGAAACATAACAGAATTATTATTATAATTTTCTACAACAACAATTATTTTCCGGCATGTTTTTATATGTTATTTTAAATAAATTCCTTATACAATTAAATATGATAATTAATGTATATTTAATAACAATAAAAACAATTTGAATATTAAAAAAGTTTGGTTGAATTATACTGCTACTTTAAGCAAACTGTTGATGAAATTGTATAAAATACTATAACAAATACAAACTTAAGTTGAATTATGTTATTACTTTCAGCAAATTGAAAGTTGCATACAATACTATAACAAATACAATGTACATTACATTCCTTCTATATGTATTCATTAAATAACTATTGTATAGATTTTGAATAAATTACAGTTTACCATAGTCAATTTTGTTTTTGTGCATGCTTATAACACTTAGCAACAAAATACACTTCCTCAACCTCAAAATGCACCAACGTTGTTTTCTCTCACCAAGGCCACAGAAGATAAGGTCCAAATCAAGCACAGTAAAAGCTTGATTATTCGGAAAGCTTGGAAAATGTTGAATTCTGAATAGTTGAGCATATAAAAAATGAAATTCACATTAGATAAACCAAATCAATAAGAAAAAAAATTCCACTCTAAAATTATAAAACCAATCACCTTATTTGTTAACAATTTGAATATTAAAAGCTTCATTTAAAATTATGTAAGGCTTTGAAAAACAGAAAAGCATTTCAATCATAAATGGCAAAATATTTTGATTATAATGAAATCCTGACAAACATGAAAGTTGGTAGAGATGTTGCCGCCAATCATTTTGATAGAAGTTTAAATGAACTACTTAATTAGATAATAATACAGTATAAATTAAAGATATAGCATATAAAAAATTTGCTTATAATAATATTTTATGATACTTTATCATTGTTTATCTGTTTTTAAAGTCATGCATGGTGGTGTTTTTTAATGCTCGGATCGTGTAATTTTGAAAATATTCCATCCACTTCATGCAGCTTCAAATATTAATATTTTTTTAACGAGAGATGAAAATAAAACTTATATCCTTCTTTACAAAAATTAAACTTGCTTATCAGGAATAAATAGAATTTACATTAAACCAACATGAACTACTTATGATTGTATTTTGATAGCATGGTTATCCAAGTAATTTATAATCCTTATTGTATTTTTTCAAAAATTTGACTGTATCAGTGTTTTGGAATTCAGTTCTTTTCCTTAATTTTTTTATCATAGGCATATAACATGGTACCTCTGTGCTAGAAATAAATACTTTATTTCTTTTGTAACAAAATTTCTCATTATTACTATACAGTTTTTGATTTTCTGCATGTAAAAACCTTAATAAATTAGAAATACTTTAAATTAAGAACCAAAAGAAAATTTCAGATGAATATTTGCATAAGAAGAATTTTTGGCCACTGACCGATGGCTTTATATTACATATAGACCGATCAAAAGAAAATTTCAGATGAACATTTGCATATGAAGAATTTTCGTTCACTGATCAATGGCTATATATTACATACAGACCAACCACTTAATAACTGTAAGGCACAGTTATTAAACATAATATACATTTAATTTTTTCTAAAGTTCTGAGTAAATTAAACCTGCATCAAAAATCAGAATAATAACATTAACCCCTTCACAAATTAATAAATCTTTAATTTTTTTTAAAAATTTAGCCTTCAGATTTCACAGATACAAAAAAAAAAAAAAAAAAAAATAATGTGTTTCCTATTCTTACTTTAAGCAATTTTTGCTTAAGATTTTCCCATTTTTTCCCACCCTGCTTCTAAAGGTCATTTTTAAACAGTCCTTTGAAAAACATTATATCTATTTGAATACATTTTAAAATCAGTCTTCACAGATTAACTCCTATTTTTAATTTTTAGCCTGCATTAATGCATTTATACGTTTCATTACCCAGAAATAGAACTTTTTTTTTTGAATGAGTTTTAAATAAATAAACTTAATAAACTTATCTTTATTCTTCAAATCACTACTAACCGAGCTATTAATTTTATGACTTAACAAATGATCTCCTTTTCTCTTGTTAGAAAATGTAATATGAAACTATATATCACTTTTGAGCATAAATGAAAAAAATATTTTGTATTATAAATACAGAAAACATTCATTCATAAATATATATGTTAAAAGAGGATAGTTAGATGGTTAAGACAAAAAGAATAAACCATAAGATACATAAAGTTACTGAGTGTACAATAAATAGAAGATAAAATCGTATGAGATATTAATGTGGTTTAATTTAGGAGTTAAAATAAAGAAGCTTATAAAATTCTTATAAACCACAAAATGCAAATTCCTATTATGCACAAATTCGAGAAACAATCATTCAACTTATAGATTTTTCTAAGTTCTCAAGCATATAGGATGCTTAACCTTTTGAGGCCAGGGCTTTGGTAGCAGTAAAAGCTACCAAAGGACGGGGAATCTTAAACCGAATGCTTTCCCCCCTTTAAGAAATCACCTCCTATTTGCAACAAAGATTCTTGTGTGCAGTTTAATGGATTCTCAGATGGGTGCATCTATGTTGCAAAAGGAAGACCTTTGAAAGAGCCCCCAGGGACGTCAAATTTGACATTTCACCCCACTTTTCAGCCTGGAAAACGGGGGAAAAAGACATGGCCACTAAAGTGGACAACCCCGTCTTTTCAAAGAGAGGACTCTATGGCCACTATAATGGCCATCCCATCTTCAAAAGGTTAATGACACAGAGATATTACTTCCTAGATACTTGATGAATGAAGAAATGACAAAAACTGATTCAATTTGATCCAACAGTTAAAGCATACAATATCAAGAATATTTTTACTTACAGCAATTTTACAACTCAATGTCGAAAGCTGAAAATAAATATTTCATCGAATAGCCACTACTGCAGATGTGACAAATTTTCATTTCATGCTGATAGAATATAATACATAATTTTGGAAACTTTAGTTACCAGTATTTATTCTATAATTTTCACCTCCCAAATAAGGATCTTTGATGGATTCAGGATCATTCTAATAAATGAACTACCATAATTTATTCACACTGCAACTAAGTATTCAGACTTTATTACCTTTTCATGGGATTGCAGGATGGAACTGCCAAAGTCTCCAATAATTTATTCACAACAATAAAGATGCATACATTCTTTATGAGCACAAATGTTTCTCTCGTATCACTCTATCATAAATAAATTGCTAATCAAATTTTCTCATATATTCCATAATATATATGCATTTAGTTCTTTACGACTAAATAACTTTCTGATTATCTGCATCTCATCAAAAAGCAAAGTACTAATGACGCCACCACTGCACCAAAAAGTATTTATGTATCAACCCAAGTATGTATGTCACATATATGTATTTTCCTATTACATAAATGCCTGAGAATACAAGGATTTGTATTTCTGATATTCAAGGTTTTCTGATTCTTACTTCTCCGAGTAAATTTATTTTTATTGTAATGAATCATAATGAGACTAGAATTTGCCAGCTGATGAAAAAGAAAAGATGCTGAATTTCTTCAGAAATATGGTGTTTTGCACAAGAATAGAAAATGCAAAAATTCTCAGTGAAGTTATGCTTCTTGAATGACCAAATTTTATGAAAACAAAATACGAAAAATTAAAAACCAAAGTATTAGAATATGGGTCATAAAAATGCTTTGAAGAGAGCCATTTCTTGTTTACTACTACAGTACAAAGTCTTTAATCCGGACTCGTTGGGACTTCAGCAATTCCGGATTAGGGGTTTTTCCAGATTAAAGATCATCAATTTAAATCTGGTAAGATGGCATGCAGAAATTATAAAATTAAAAAATATGAAACCGTAATTTATAAAATAAAGAGCAATTATGATCTAAAGGATATCAAAATTTACAAATAATAATAATAATAATAATAATAATAATAATAATAATAATAATAATAATAATAATAATAATAATAATAATTTGTTTACTTTATTAAACATTTCTTTCAATGTAAGTTGTTTAAGTTGCTTTGTTTTTTTGTGCTAATACTTTCTCTTTAATTCTATAAACAGACATAATTTCTTGTTCAGTTCCAATGTTCAAGTCCTGTAATTGCTGTGTCAAGAATAAAGACCAACTTGTCAATCGAAATTTTTTCGTTTTCAATAACCTCTCTGTCACTCTCTTCACTATTGGAAGCGGTACATCGAAACATGCTTTCACTTTGTAGATCCTTTGGCAGCTCCAGAATAGGAAACTTTTTTTGACATAATCGAAAGTTCAAGCTTACTTTTTATAAAATTGTTCTAACAGTCTGCAAAAAATAATAAGCCAGATCCAATTAGAAGATTAAGGTACAATGCAATCTGCAACATTAACTGAAATAGATAATTAGATAATTTTAGCCTAGCTTATACCGTCCGTTATACATTAAACGTGCATGTGTAAACATATTATGCGCATGCATAAACGCATGAGTAAAGGTATTATGCGCATGCCCAGAAAGTTTGTAGCTTTGAGGTCCGAATTATAGACGTTCGGATTAAAGACTTTGTACTGTATTTGCTTTATTTATTGTTGGACAAAGGAATATGCCAGTAAAACTCTTTGAAGAACTGGGATTATCTCCAAACACAACTATGAATTGCTCTAATTATGTCTGAGAAAGTGTGCATGTCTTCTATGGAAAAAAGAAGAATGTAAAAAAAAAAAAAAAAAAAAAAAAAAAAGGTGGCACTGGAAGCATAACAAAACATAAGTATATTCAAACAAATATTTCTCTTCAAACTTGGCAATGAGTTCGTGAATGCTATCCTAAGTCACCAACCAGTTAAGAGTTTTTCGGTGGGGGCGTAAATAATCAGTAAGTACCCTTTCTTGTTATAAAAGAGCAAGTAGAATACCTAATGGTGCTCAAAAAATTGACAGTCCTTTTAGATAATATTCGGCGGTAACTATTTCACATATTTACCTTCAAGCAGAAATAATAATAATAATTTTAAAAAAAAAAAAGCGAGTTGAAAGATTCATAAAGTAGTTACTTTTATGATAGGTAAGTGAGAAAATGAAAATTAATTTTCTACCATATTACAAAATAAAACAACAATCTTCCTCAGACTGTTTTAATGGGTGTCTTCATATGTTTGTGTTGCATGACAAAGTACACTTTCTATACAATACCAAAGAATGGGATTATTGCAGTGGATTGAAAGCAATGCACATGGAATGAAAATATGCTTTTCCCCACCATAAGAAACGATACACTGAGAGATAATTTATATTTTTATTTTATGAATTTGTAAAGGGGTCAACAACTATACATTCTTTAAAAAAAGCAGTAAGATAATGTCAAAACTATATACTTACTCAAAAATAAAGAAGAGTGTGCATGTTCCTACTATAAGACAAACGGTAAAGAAGAACACACCAGTCTGTCGGGCCATCATGATTCGGCCATTGCAATAAAACTTGTTCCTTCCTGGGAATACCTCCCATTTGCGAACAAATGGTTTGCCGGGTTTGTCCGGCATACTCGGCGATTCGGTCAAAACCCTCGAATAGTCAACAGCTTTCAACTGACTTTTCATCGGTTCATGGAAAGGATGGGGAAGGATGGGACTTTAGGGAAGGGACTTGATATCATCTTACATTTGTGAAAGATGAGATTTCCATCTTGTTTCACAATATTAAATTGCATATGAGCACTAAAAAATAAATAATTAATTACTCTAATTAGACTGCATGATAAAATACTTACACATATAAGATGAAAAAAGATTCAGTAATTTGATGAGGAAAACAACTATATGTCACATGCTAAAGAAAAGCTTGTTTTAAAAAGAAGCTGCACAGTGTATATCTGCTCTAAACAAACTTTGTTTATTGCATCTCTCACTTCTAAAACAGTTTTTTGAAAAATACATAATGTCAGATTTTAATCTTTTAAAATATTATGAAATTTAATAAAGAATGATCAGAACAATAAAAGAAAAGCACACCGTGCCGTGATCATAACATCAAAACATGTAATAAAGCTTTTAAAGGGTTAAGTATTTTTTGAATACAGCAACTTTTTTTTGCATATTTTGTACAAAATTTTCCTTATACCTTATCCACACATTTTTTTTTTTTTTTAAACATTTCAAGCAGAATCAATGTAAATGTTATTTTTAGAAATTACGATCTATTATATGAAAAAATATTATAATACTTAATTTATATCATTGTTCATAAGAACAAAGTGTGACTTAATGAGAATCCATTGGGATTACATCGGAAGAAAATGCAGATGTTATGAGCTTACACATGTCATGCTTACACATAATTGATGCTAAATCGTGCTAGTTGGCAAGAACTTCATGGCCAACAGGATAATATATAAATAAATCACAATATAAGATTAGGTATGCATTTTGTTTTTATGTAAATAAAATATGTAATTATATGGCATTAAAAATATGTAGGGTGAAATGTTTGAGGTATCCATCCATATGGATAAAAAGATTTATATATTTATACAGTCAAAAGTCGTTAATCCGGACTCGTCGGGACTTCGGCGATTCCGGATTATCGATTTTTCCGGATTATAGATCATCAGTTTAAATCGTGTAAGATGGCATGCAGAAATTCTAAAATTAAAAATATGAAACCATAATTTATGAAATAAGGAACAATTATGATCTAAAGGGTATCAAAATTTACAAAAAAAAAAAGCTTAATATTTATTTGTTTACTTTATTAAACATTTCTTTCAATGTAAGTTGTTTCGTTTTATGTGATAATACTTTCTCTTTAATTCTATAAACAGACATAATTTTTTGTTCACTTACAAAGTTCCGCTGTTCAAGTCCCGTTAATTGCTGTGCCGAGAATACCAACTAACTTGTCAATCGAAATTTTTTCATTTTCACTAACCTCTCTGTCACATTCTTCATGTCTTTATCCATTTTTTGCAGCAATTCCATTTTTTGTTTGATGGACATCGAAACATACTTTCGTTTTGTACGATCCTTTGGGAGCTCCAGAATCAAAAATTCTATTTGACATAATCGAAAGTTCAAGTTTACTTTTTTAGTATTGCTCTTACAGTCTGCAAAAAATAATAAGCCGGATCCAATTCGAAAATTAAGGAACAATGCAATCATCAACATTAACTGAAATAGATAATTTTAGCTTACACCGTCCGTTATACATAAAATGCGCACATGAAAACGTATTCTGTGCTTGCGCACACGCAAATGCGCAGTCGTAAGAGGTCTTACGCGCACGCGTAAACGCCTATGTGCATGTGTCAACGCGGAGCATGCGCAGAAAGTTTTTAGCTTTGGGGTCCGGATTATAGATCATTCCGAATTATGGGTGTCCGAATTAACGACGTTTGACTGTATAGGGGTTGTATATGAATAAAGATTTCACGAAAGAGAATGAAAAGACAGTACTTCTTTTGTTATAGCCGCCCCTAATAATATTTGGCGATTTTAGATTGCGCCAAGATATCAGCTATAATTTCGGCAAGCTGCAAATGTAAAGAAAATAAAAATAAATAAATAAAAAAAATGAATAATAACAATAATACTCGTACGTCACTATATATGTTTTCTTTAAGTTAGGCGGGAATAATTAAGAGTCATTAAGTAAGTAGTTAAAGTAGTCACTTACAGGTTTATGGGAAAAAGAGACAAACAGAACAGAAGTGTGAATTATTATTGATAATTAGGCATGCTCAGTAACATTTCCTGTTTGGTTTTAGTATTTCGAAATATTATGATATAAAATGAATATGTTAAGTATGCAAATCAATAAACAGAAAAAATCTTGCACAGCTTTACTCCAGAGAGGTTACTATAAAATATAGCAAACAAAAAGTTTCCTTCCAAAATTTGTATGGTTTTGAAAACATATACTATTTATATGACATCTCTATTGGCACTGATATATTACGTTCCACTGATGAAGTGAATTAAAAATATCTTTGTGACAGAAATCTATTATCAGCTATACAAAACATATCCATTACAGTTTCATAGTTTTATGTCATCAGCTGACTGGAAATTACCGTATTTGACGGCATATAAGACGCACCCTTATTTAGACAGCCCCACACAAGGAAAAAAAGTTTCAATCGTGTGGTTTCTTTTAGTTTTCACGTTTCGTAAAAGCCAAATAAACAATTATTGAAAAGACTGTTTCCTTCATGTATAAGATGCAGGTAACTTTTTTGGGACCAAATTTAGGAAAAAAAGTGCGTCTTATATGCCGTCAAATATGGTACATCCTTTAAGAACTTTATAAAAACACTGAAAATTATTAAAAACTCAAAGCAAGAGTTGCTTGTATGAAAATGATCCCATTTAACTCAAAAGCACTTAATTTCTACTTCACAGTTCTGGCTACATGAGGATGTTCAACCGAATAACCCTCTCTACAAAGTTATAATGACATTTTTTTAATGCACACTGCAGAATAAAAAATAAGAAAAAAAAAGATATAAACCTCTCAATAACAGGAATAATTAATTGCACACTAATCTGTTTCGGATGCATGTAATAAAGCACTAGCAATATCTTTATCATATATTCCCCACACACTATTTTGAATACAATCAATACTTTATTAATCACATAACTTGATCATAACTTTTACAGTAGTGCCATCCTGGACAGGATAAATATCATACATACTACCAAGTTGAAGTTTAATATTCAGCTCTTATAATCAATATAGATTATCATTAAAAATTAAACATTATATAGAAATTTAATTAATGACTAGATTCATTTAGTAATACAAAATATAATTACACAAACAATTCTGAGATTCATGTTTCTTGTAGTAAGTAAAATTTAAGTAAGTACAAAGTCCGTAAATCCAGACTTGTCGGGACTTCGGCGATTCCGGATTATAGATTAATTTAAATCTGATAAGATGGCATGCAGAAATTATACAATTAAAAATATGAAACCATAATTTATGAAATAAAGAGCAATTATGATGTAAAGGGTATCAGAACTTACAAAAAATGTAATATTTATTTGTTTACTTTATTAAACATTTCTTTCAGTGTAACTTTCGGTTTAATCCTAGTATCCGGTGCACACGGGATCTGGGGACTTTTATGGTGAGCAGTAAAAACAGGACATATACGATGAGTAGTAAACAGGCCATTCAAAGAATATATATAGTTATGGGTCATTATTTAATGAAATTTCGTGGAATCATACATAACATGATGACACATAAATGCAAAAGAAAAAATTGAAGATCACCTCATATGATATAAAATTGTAGCATGAAACAATAAAAATGGTAATAAAGTGTGACAAAGAGAGTTAAGAAAAAAAGGAATGATTCAGAAAAATAATTAAGTCTTACGAATTTAATATGGAATATGATCTCCCCTGACTTGTACACACATATCACAACATGTTTTAAGGCTGGAAATAATGTTGTTAACCACAGTTTGGGGAATTAATCTCCACTTCCAGCAATGCCGTCTTCAGAGCATTTACATCTCTAGAGGAGGATGTATACGTGCAATTGCTCTTCCAAGGTAGTCCCCATAAGTTCTATCGGGTTAAGGTCAGGAGAGTTTGGTGGCCAAGGTATTCGCTTAATGTCTTCACTTTCAAGGAATTCATCAAACGAGGTTTGCTCAATGTGGACGGGCATTATCCTCCATAAATAAAAAGTCGGTCCATATGCAACCCCTGAAAAGTCTTACATAAGGATCTACGACCTCTCTCGATATATCTGACCTGTCACAGATCCGCTGCTTAACACGTGTAGGGGCGTACGTCCATCGATCATTTTCCACCCCACCCATCACACCCTCCACTACCGAAACGGTCACGTTCCACAATGTTCGAGGTATCATTTCGTGTTCCTGACTTCTCAGATGTAACACGTTTAGAATCACCAGTTAAAAAAACCGCGACTCATCATTAAAGAACATGGGACCATTGATGTTCAGTCCATTTTTGATGTTCTTTACACCAATTAAAGGATCCCTCTTTTTCTGTGAATACAGTAAACCATACCCTTGCTTTCTGGCATAAAAGCCTTTTTTCATTAGCCTTCTGTATAGGTTTGCCGTGATGCACAGTTCCAGTGGCGGCTGCAAGTCTACTTAACTGGCGAGCAGTAGCCCTTTCTGTACGACGGGCAGTTAATGCCAGATACCGATCTCAGAAGCAGTTGTCATTCTTTCCGACCTTGTCCAGGCCTCCTTACAACACTTCCACATTTTGAAACTATTTCCATAGCTTAGAGACTGTCTGTCTTGAAATATTAGACATGTGGCTGTTTCCATGATGACTGCCCTGCTTCTAAACGGCGACAATCCCACTTTACGATTCTTCCCATGATACTTCGAAGCCATAACAAACCGCTTGAGTCCCTACACACTGAAATCAAACGCTATGTTGCAGAAATTCACTCAAATTCAGTTTGCCCAAAGTGCTTGATTCACCCTTGGATAACATAACGCCTAGATTTGCATATCACAAACCGTTTGATTACTTTTTGATTGGATATGCTAATTAGGCTTGGGTTTCACACATTCCCGCAAAAACTCCATTGATTCGAATTTCATTGAATATCATCATTTTGGGGTATGTAAAGATAATTTTGGACATGAGTGTACTATGTATATAGTGATAGTATATAATGTATAGTATATACATAGACGTTTTTGGGGTCATTTTTGGTGTTGGCGATAATTTTCAAAATCGCGCCAAGGTTGCACCGTATACTAGGATTTTACCTAACTTTCTTCACTATCGGAAGTGCGCATGGGTAAACACTTTACTGGCTTTACGCGCGCATCAAATGTACATGCGTAAGTTTGTGGCTTTGAGGTCCAGATTATAGATCATTTAGGATAATGGACGTCCGGATTAAGGACTTTGTACTGTAGTAAGTGCAAATAATAATAATAATAAAAAAAAAGTTATAAATCAGATATAAATTTTGCTTTGATAATCAAGATTATTTTAATATCTATTACATAAAATTTTTACACTTCCTTGTTACTTACATTTACACTTTTATGTCCCTTTCTCAAGATATGAGAGCACTGCAGTTTTATTAATTTATATATAGTGGAAATGCTAAAAGAATTGGAACAACAATCATTATGAAAATGTTATAGCTATTGCAAATTAGTTAGGAATTATTACTCAAAGGGAAAAAAAGTTAATAAGAGCAAGGCCAGTTTAAAGTTTGCCAGTTTTCCCTTCAGGTGAAATCCAGTCATCCCCATATATATATATAGTTCTCTGTATTTAAAAATAAGTACTTTAATGAAATAAGAGACTTGTATGCATTTTGCAAATTTTATTTTCCTTTCTTATCTCTATTAACAAAAAATAAAGAAGATATGAGCATGTGAGTTTCCCATGTTGTAGTCAGAGTCGTAGCTAGGGTTTTCAGCGCCCAGGGACAACTGAAGATTTCGCACCCCCTACTGCTTGCCAAGGATGGAAAACATTTAATTCTAAAATGTCATAACATCAGTTTGGCGCCCCTTGGATTCTGCGCCCGGGGACAGATGCCCACTTTTGCCCCCCTCTAGCTACGCCCCTGGTTGTAGTGAAGCACCAAAATTTGATGGCTGTCCAACTACCAGATTTGTAATACATAATCCTGCATCTGAGCTTCAAAGTCAAAATTTTGCATTCTTTTTTAATGTATTTTATATTTGGGATAAATTTATTTAATGAAATTCATATTTAAATTCATGAAATCTTCAAAAAGATTCATGAAATCTACTGTTACTGCCATACACTCAGAGTTAAAATGATGCATGCGTTTTTTATGACTGAAAGTACAAGAGATTAAGATTTGAAAATTACACACAGTAAAAATATTAAGTAAAAAAAAAAGGGGGGCAGTTTCTCAGGTAGTCTATTTTATTATTTTAATTTTTCAGAGGATGAAAGTCAGTTTTAGTGGATTATATAACAATTAAATATGGAGAATCTAATATGGATCAGCTTAATTCTTACCTTCGTAGCTTCTTAACTACACATAATGTTTGGTATGATATTCTATTTTTCAGTATATATTGCCAGTATTGCTCAAACGCCTTTTCGTTTTTACTGAAAAATTTGATAAATGAGGACACAGCTAATTCTACAGTAGGGGTTTTCAACCAGGTGGGTATTTCATAGTTTCAGGAGTGGTGGAATGAGATAGCCTTTAATCTATACGTTAAGTATTTAGGTACAGTTAATTTGTGAGCATAAAAAAACTGCTTTTGTTTATTTCATATTTATCAACATTTTGTATACTTTTTTCTTTAATAAAAGCACATTAAAAAGAATCTAAATTTAAATAAATGTATACATATTTTTCGAGTTTGGGAAAGGTAGGGAGGAATGATTGTCTAGTAATGGTAAAAGGGCTGCATGCGACAAAAAAGGTTGAAAATACTTGTTCTATAGCAATCAACTTGCACATTACCTTTGTAAGAAAAATTCTTTTCCCTCACTATCTATGCAATGAAAACTTTCAAGTTTTCTTCAAAAAGAAATTTAATGGTATAAGACAGGATGGACTATTCATAATGACCAATTCTTGTTTGAATTATTAACATGGCATATTATTTTTGTATGTAAACTTCTTTCTCCCTCTAGCGATAAAATCTAGCAAATACTGAAAAATCAAAATAAGAACTTAATGGTATTATCATAATATACAGGACATACTGGATAGATTAATTGTGGAGAGCTGACTGTAGTAGCATGAATGATATCACTCCTCCATCTTATGACGGAAATAAATGAAGCAATATGTAAACTGAAAAATCACAAATCTCCAGGCTCTGATTCAACACTATCTGAATTTATTACAAATGCTGGACCAGACACTATATATTTAATAGAATTTATATTAATAGAATAAAGATATTTAATAGAATTTATATGGAACAAGGAAGTAATTCCAGAAGAATGAAGACGGTACCATCTGCCTTGTTCGTAAAAAGAGATATATCTTGGAATGCTAAAGTTATCGAGGAATAGTCTACTCTGCACAATTTACTAACTATTTTTAATAGATTAGTTGTTATACAAATAATATAATTAGTCACTATCAGTATGTTTCCATAAAGAAGGGTTCACTGATGAGAAAATCTTCAATATAAAGCAAATAATGGGAAAGACCAGAAAAATTTGACCTTGACATATTTACCATTTATTCAGATATTTTACAACTGCTTATGATTCAGTGAATAGAAAAATACTGGTTAGTCTATATTTTACACTGCCCCTTGGATTATTGCCAAGTTGTTGTTTTATTTATTGCCAAATTGTTCTTTCATTTATAAGGTAACCTGAGTAGTTGAATGTTATGGAAACCCTATTATGACGTGACACAATTGGTTACATCATTGCAGTGAATTTGACTGATGGGAAAATATTTGTAAGGACTTACTTCTATGATGGATGTCAGTTAGGAAGTGCAATGCTTATTTTGTGATGTACACCGTAAAATGGCTGTATGTGATGAGATTAATCTGAAGTTTCTGTATGACTTGGAATGAAAGGGAAAAAAAAGCATTTAACACGTTCAGCGCCATGTCGGCTATCTGTGGCTGATACTAGACTTTCCGTTTAAGCTGCATCAGGCATTTGTGGCTGACACTACAGTTTCCGTTTAGGCCGCGTCGACCGCCGTTGGGTGACAGCGTGTAACATGATATATAACTATAAAATTTACACTGTTTATGGAATAAACCCATATAGTAAGAAGACAGGGATGTTTGTGATATAGCCTGTAAAAACCTCTTCCGTTCCAGAGGTAATATTGATGTACTATTTTTTTTAAATGGCAGAGTAAACAATTACAATTGGTAGCCCAGTCCACAATGATTCATTAAGGATTAATGGATTTCATTGAAAACAGGTAAAAAAAAGGTTCTCCATCACATCTATTAGGAAAATGGAAACTTTCTTGTGTTTTTTTCTGGGAATTACTTAAGATCTGCTGCGTTGTTTCTCATAACATACTTGACAATATTTCCGTACTTCAGAGGATTTCCTGGTTTTCTTGGAGTTTATGTGTCGTTTTAGTATTTTTGCATTTCGGTTCGATGGAAGTCTTTCACAACTTGTAAGGGATAGTGCTAATTCTTTCCAGAATTCAGTAATGCTAATTTTCTGCTTCGTAATATCTTTGTATAGAATGTAACTATTTACCAAACAGACTTGGCACGTAACGTGTTGAATTAATGCTATAGGAATCACATTCCAAACGTAAACTATCTTCTACTGTGATAAGAATCACTGGCTCTACAATATCAGCGCTTTTAAGAGGTGCGCGTTGGCCTGAACGGGATTGCCTAAGAAATACGCGTGGCGCTCAACGTGTTAATTGACTAGTATGTAAACGAAGGTTTACTTAGTAGTCATTATAAGTGCCCTATTTGTATGAAGGAAATGAGAATGGCCGTAGGAAATGCATAAAGATCATTCAGATGGCTTTGTTGCAAGAAAGATTCATGCAAGAAATGCCCAATCCGGCACTATGGAGAATATTTTTTACTCTTATTTTTGTGAATTTATATGATGATGGCAGTACGCATATTCTAGTTCAGATAATTTTAGAAAGTGTTTGGATGCTGTTAAGGAATTTTGTGTGCCCCAGATTGAAGACACAGAAATTTCTAAATATAAGTAAGTTAATGGATATTTCTTGTTCTTCAGAATCCAATGTTTAGACTGAACATAAACTGTATACTGAATTTATAATTAAATATGTAAAAAATGTTAAAAAAATATGTTAAAAAATGTTACATGACAGTAGTTTTCAGATTACAGGGTTATAACTGATAACATGTGAAGTATAAATACCGTAAAATAGCATCAAATAGTAATTACCAGCATTAAATATGGGACACAAATTGAAATATGGCTTAAACAGTTTTAATGCAATAGGAAAAAACTAAAAAATTTGAAAGGTTTCAAATTTTAATGGTTGCCCTAAAGAGTTTATTAAAGTTTTTACACTCTCGCTGAGCTCACAGTTTAACAGTCTGTCGTTACATTCACTCCTACTAACCCATTTTTTCCCCTTTTTAGTTTTATTACTAGGCATCATTTTCTTTGCACTTACACTGTATATAATTCAACAGCAAAATTTTAAAAGCAGCATACAATTAGAATTTGCAGTGAAGCATTATGTGGCACATACATTTTTCTTTCTTTTCTTTTTCCAGTTTGTCATAACCCCACAAACATTTTATATCAGTCTCTTTCATTGCTGACATATTATTCCACAAGTAAATATTTTAAAATTGAATTTAAGGTAAGAAATAGCATAATTTGGCTATGTAATTAAATGTAATTAAATTCCCCATGTAAACCATGTAATTAAATTCACTTTTAACAGTGGATCTACAGCAGTTTGTCGATGCAGGAAAAGTAGTTCTGTTTTTTACTTTCTTCAAGCCTAAATATTTCTGCCGAAAAGTTCAGAAAATTAGTTTCTTCAATTTCTATATGAGAAGTATTTAAAAGTTTTAAATTTACATAATGCATTTGTTCTAAAGCAAAATTCAAGAACAATAAACAGTCTACATATCACAAAAGAAGATATTCACATTTCAACAAGCAAAAAATCTGGAATAACAGCTATATTCAGATCTCAATCACCTCAAGATATCAACTGAATATAATACTCTGATACTGAATTATATGTCAAATGCAATATACGTTCACACATATATGTAAAAAAAAAATTTTTTTTGCCTACATATTAGAAATAAATATGCTATTTATTAGATTTGCCTACATATTAGAAATAAAGGCTGATCTTTAGAATATGGTAACTGGTAGTTTGGCGACATTTTGAAGGTCATAAAGGTTAGTACCTGGACTTGGGTGGTAAAATGTGAGCATACTCGTTCCGAAACGCATGTATTTTGTGTAGGGAAATGAGGAGATCATGGGATATGTCCATGGATAATTAATGGACGACTACAACGGTTCTTTATCGGAAAAAGGGGGGAAATCGGGGGGAAAAAATCGGAATTTTGTATTTGGCTTTTATTTGTGTTGTGTGAAACAGTGTTCTTGAATTTTGGATCCCATGCCGTAACTACAGTGATTCGAAATGGATTGTTAACAGGTCTGTATAATAATTTAAGTATGTGCTCATTTTATTTTATAGTATTTTTGCGTTATTAAATTTGCTTAAATGCTAGTTTTTTGTGATTTATGTTGTAGGAATTTGGTGTAGTTTAGTTGAATAACGGTGCATGGGACCCATCTTTAAATAAATACCTGAATGCTTAAGTCATGAATTCGTGGTGCGTGTATAATGTATAGATGATTTAGGTGTATTTTTTGGATATTTTTTATTTTTATGTGGAATGTTCATATTTAAAGTAAATACTTTTTCGCGATCATGTAATTTCATATATTTCTTTTACGTAAAAAAAGATTGAAAAAGCCTTTTTTCGTGAAAGTTTTGCTAATTTAGAGAAAAAGATGTACTGATATTGAAGAAGAGTGTGCGCAATGCATTTTTTGTGCAATTCTGGGATTTTTTTTAAGTAAAATAAGCGCGTGTACCTGTTTATGTGTATGGTATTTTGAAAAGTGCGTAAGGAGATTATGTGCACTTTTTCCCAATTGCAGTGAATATTTGTCATGATTAAGCGTTTGTTGATAAAATTGCTAGAATAAGTTAATTTGGCTAGTAGATTGTTGGAATAAGTGTCAGCAGATAAAAAGAAAGAAACATGTCTTACTTCGTGAAGACAAAATGGACGGCAGGAAAAAAAAATTGGGGTGCTGTCGGGAGAGTTGTCGGCCAAATTTTCACCAAAAAATCGCCAAGTTACCATAATGTAAAGATCAAACGAAATAAATACAGATGAAATTTTAAATTTAAGCATAAACACAACTGTAATATTTAATTATTAGCTATTCAGACATTAACATTAACAAACTTTTATTTTTATATTGAAGACAAAAACATTTATTTTTGAAAAGGTAATTTTATTTAAAAAATCCTGCACTGTTTTATCCTACCTATTTTGAAAACTATTTTTTTAATATATAGTTTTTCTATAGTTGAAAAAATAAGGTGGTCTTCCATTATTGGGATTGGATTCCGAAATGTATGTACGTATGAATGTATTTGTTCATTCGTGTATGCATGTATACTTGCATATACATATGTGTATACACATATACTCACATACGTATATACACATATATTCCTTAATCCAGTCCCGATAACAGAAGAGTACCAAAAATAATAATGAACACACATTAATTGTTAATTCTGAAGAACTATCATAATTGTGAATTAATAATTTATCAAAACAGCACTTACATATTTGAAAATTTATTTTATATTAAGTGGCACAGAACTGCTTTCACTCCTTTTCCCCAAATAATACAAAAATGTATTCACATTAAAACAATTTTTAAATATATGTAAAATATACATCGAGTAGATTAAAAAAATTAATTCAAAAGTTTATTTTATGAAATGAAACCGTCGAGCAAACTCAGTATCATCAATAAGACAAATTTTAAACACGATATTTCTCATCAAAACGTACTGAAAACTGATTTTTATGGTAAATGCAGATGAGACGACTAAATATTACTCATATTATACCCTTTTAAGAGCTTGTGACATAAAACAGAGAAGCAGCAAATCATTTGGTCAAACCATAGACGTTAAAAACGTACTTTAAAAAATATTATAACTGTCATAAAAACGTTATTCAAAAATCTCAAAACACAGAACAAATTTATATATAATTGGACTATCAGACCTCATTGAATTAATAAAGGAATAGTTGCAAAGAATATCAACGGACATTCATTACGCAATACTTTCATTAGGTTGTATGTTAGTTAATTTTAATAAAAATATATTTCACCTAAAATTGATATCGCACTAAACCAGTTTTTCCCAAAGTTTTGATTTCCTACAGAAGCATTACTCAACATTTAATGACACAAGAAGAAATAACGTTAAAGATTAAACACAGTTATTTATATCACCTCCTGCAGAAATATGAAATTACTACGATAGTACACAACGTTATTTTTCTCCATTATAACGAAATTAGATTCACACGAATACACGAAGACTTTTAAATAGAGAGTTAAAAATTTTTACTCAGGTAGAAATATGTATTTGTAGGAGTTGAAGTGAAGATGTTTCGCCAACATAATCATCCAGATGGCATCACAACTGTTTTATTGAGGAGAAAAAAAAAGGAGGGACAGAGAGAACTAATTCAGAAAGTAAAGCATTCACCAGAAGAAAATATTTTTCTTTTCATTTTGACAGCCTTATTTAAAGCAATTTTAAACTCATAGTTTCATTTTAAGTCTTTAAAGAAATTGTAGAGACATTTTATTCCGAAGAAAAGAAACAATACAATCTAAGATATTTTTGAAATACCTAGACCTTTTGCCTGAATACGAATATATTGAATAGCAAAAATATTAAATTCAAGCTTAAACTGCAATAAAAAAACCTCCAAATAGGAATAATATTTTATAAAAGTTTTGAATTTAATTGCAAGTTATTTTTCAGAACTCGATAAAATATATATAATTAGCACC